CTTTACTAACATAATTCTATTCAACGCTCGCTCCGGATGTTGGAAGAGAAGAGCGTGAAACAAGTGGACTTCAACTGCCACAGAATCTTCCGTCTGTAGGATGAACTAATGTTGGGATCAGCATCAGGTATGAACAACTCAGACACCGAAGATTACTTGATGTCTTGTTTCTGTTTTCGAAAAATGCCAATCAGCTCTAAGACACTGCAAGAGCTCGAGAGATAAAGTACAGAAGTCTGACTACGAATCGATCTGTTAAAGACAAATATGCTGCGATCGGATGCCGTACTGCAGACCCAGGATATATTAAATGGTGAAAATTTCCAAGACGATTAATGCATTTACCTGGCCACGAGATCAACGTAGAGCATGATTAGCTAGGAGAGATACAGCGAAGAAAGATGGCGGTTGGATGGCGGGTTGGCAGTCCTTCCATACCATCAAATAAGTCCTCTTAGACAACGTCAAGAAAGAAACCCGCGCCCACTTGTCCAGTTCTATCGTTATGCTGGCGATATTTTATGGATGTGAGACGTGGTCTTCATTACAGCCGAATAGCGCTTTTTATCGCTTACAAGAGAACTATGAACAGAAGAATGTTAAGAATCTCACGTCGAGACCATGTCCCCAAGACGATGATCAGATATCGACGTGAGCGAAGGGCGTTTTCGTCGGAAACAGAAAGGAGAAGTTGTGATGGGCGGGACACGTAGCTCACCTCACCGAAGGGACATGCTGGAGGTTGACCGCTGATTTGTTACTCTGCGGGTGGTTTAGACTGGCCGGTCTCCACTGACGACGATAGGATGATTTGATCGCGAACCGGAAAGAACTTCACCTGGACGAAAACGGATCGAAACCATGATGAATGGCGAGCGTATTGCAGATGGTGTGATTGGTTACCGATCACCGACCGGTGAAAGTGATCGTTTGTCACAGAGAGGATGAAGAGTTTACATAGAGTCAGCCTACAACGAATATTTGTAGCATGTTATTTTCCATGTGAAGGCGTAGCTCATTGTGACCAATTTTTTGTGACGTGTTTGAAAGTGACGCTATGTGCATATAAGAATTTCGCTTGTTTGTCGAACCTTCATCGTCCAACACACTACTTGGACGAACGACTCTCCCGCCTTTCCACTTTCAATACAGAAGCTCCAGTAGTACTTCAACGTAGTGCAGCTTCTCAAATCTCTGATTTATTTTTATGCATCTTGGTGGTTAAGCAACTACAGTAATGAATGTTTATTACTCACTGTTTAGGTTGTGTCAATATCAGAACTGCTGTTGGACCCATTTTACAGAACAATCGACGGGTTCAAGGTGCTCATCGAGAAAGAATGGTTGGCTTTCGGTCATCGTTTTTCACATCGTTGTAATCATACAGCTTCTACTGCTGCCAGCGGATTCGCCCCTGTGTTTTTGCAGTTTTTGGACGTGGTCCACCAGGTGTCCGTTTCTCTGTTGGTTGTAATCTATTTCCATTTTTCGTCCTCGTTTAGATTCACGTGCAGTATCCAGCAGCTTTCGAGTTCAATGATTTTTACTTGCGATTTTTGGCCTTCCATTCGTCTTCGGCGTACTTCAGGACTTTTCTTCTAAATTGCGAATCTGATCGAGTGGAAAGCGGACTTTTGCAGTTCGACTGCAAGCCAAGACCTCGCCCTGAAATTGCCGTGCCTGAAGATATTGGAGGAAATTCATCAGTGACCGGTCAAATTCCCCATTCTCTTGGGAAGGCATCTGCCATCACGAACGTGTCCATTTGGGATTATATTGACGAGAAGCATCGCCGCAGTTGCGTATTTTATAATTTCCTGTACAGCAAGGGCCGCTACTCCGTACTTCGTCCGCAGTTTACATTGGCATCATATGATCTGTGGGAATTTTACACAGAAGATCCTATTTCTATCGGATCTCCGTATGACTTAGGTACGGCAGAACTTGTTCCTGACAGTAAAGTTTCCGTTTTGAATTTTTCAGAAGTCGTTGAGACCGAGTTATTGGAGAGGTCAGCCGATCGATCAGATAATCTCTCGGATAACGTTTCGATATCATCGACGACTGGACATCGGATAATTGATCCCGGCTACGATTCTATCATCCATTCGCAGCCCAACTGTTTCTCGACCTTGTTAGAGGTAGTAATTTTGTCTTTTTCGAATCAGTGATATTCATTCAGAATGAATGGTCTGTTAAAGCCAGGTGATTCTAACATTCCAATCGATTTCTATGCTATTTTTGTTTATTCAGTACTCTTTAAAACTAGTCCCTTTTCACCAGATGGCGACACCAGTGGCACTTGACCAGACTGTGTTCTGTATGCCTAATGCCTAATTTTATCTTATTTATTGATGTTGAAGACAGTCGATTGATATTGTAACATTGACTAATCAAGAAAATAAATTCCCTTAATTTCGCTCTTTCTCTATTCTTGATTTGTGGTACGAGAATGATTATGAAATTTAGTTTAAGATACCTTTTTTTAAACTACAACTCGCAGCATTTTAAGATAGACAAATTTTCGTTTAATGCCTACCTAAGCAACGTTGCATGTTGTGCCGTAAATCAAATGTTACATAATGTTTGTGTCTCAATGCATTGATCGAGAATGAGCGGGGTTTCTAACGGTGACAGTATCAACAAGAGCTTAAAAACATTTTCATCGAATTTTTCCAAGAATAATTATTAAAGGTTATTAAAGGTTGCTAGCATACTACTAGTTTTCAATGCAGCGGGCAAAAATAACATTCATCTGTCGCTTTTCCCAATTTACACGCCGTAGCGCACCGTCCCCTTGTTTCTTGTAAAGGAATACTAAGGTTTATGTTTGCTATATATGCCTACGCACTGAAGTATATTTGTGGATGTTCGAACATTTTCGTTCGATCTAGCAAGGTGGTGCTCTTTCATGCCCTTGCATTGCAGGTTCTAAAATACCATGGATCCATGGCCTACAGGGAACAGTACTTCAGCACTAGAAACAAAAGGATATTGCGGCTACGCTGTGTAAATCCAAAGAAATGACAGGATGATGAAATTCCAATAACTGTTACAACTTCGGATCATCTACTAGCGAAAGCAGTTTCAGTATCTTCTCTTCAGATTGCGAATATCACAAGGCGCAGAATTGGACATACGCGTGATTCTCGTTTCCATCTTTTGTGTTTCCATCTAATATCATGTTCTGCACCACACTTTCTCTGTCATCAGTTTTTTACTGCATAAACGGAATCCATGGCAAATATTTTCCAGCAACACAAATAAAAAGGATATACACGAATTGTTGTAGGCAGAGCTACTATAAATTATGTGAAAAATCTAAGACATTTCTGAGAAGAACTTTTTGCGCGACTGGCACAGTAAGGCTGAAATTGACACAAACTTCTGTAAACGACGAATATGTTACATTAATGCCTTTGAAATAATGCTTCCGCCTACAAGGATTGCCGCTGAGGCGGAAATTATAGACTTTCTGTAGAGCTTTGTTTTAGTGGATTTGTATCAGATGGAAGCAGTGCGAGACCTTTTGGACTGTCAGGTATTCGGTACGTTGTTCTTGTATGAATAACCTGTAGCGCTGCGTATCCTGAAGGAGTCGCTGAGGTAAAACAACACTTTGCTCAGGAAAGTGTTGGAATTGTTGCTGCCTCCTGGATTTGTCCGTCGCAACCGTTTTCTGAAATTGTTGTCAGGTTCTCGTCATTCATATTTGTTAAATTCAATGTTTGACGTTACTCATGTAACGCTGTTTTATCGCTGTCATGAGGATTGATTGTATAGCGCAGGCGTCAGTTTATTTAGAATACGTTCTGTTTGAGGTCTCAAACATGCTGTTCTATTTCTGATCATTTTTTGTTTCTGTCTAGGAGATATGCAGTTTACAGCGAGAATTAGATGTGCTTCCTGAACACTGGGAGACAGTCCTATTCAAGATATATCTGTCGCTGGAAGTGCATGAGGAAGAGTCGGCGCAGATCAGCTTCATCGGTGAATGGGCAAGATGGTTGAGTCGAACTTTGCACAAAAAATCTACAATCGAACTTCTGTTGCGCGGTCGTATGGCAACACAAGCGCTAGGCAAACTGTCTAGAATCGAAAGTGGACAGCGGCACAATTTCGTCAAATGTAGTTTCACTACTCCAGAACACTGCCATGTTTGTAACCGAATTATCTGGGGCGTTGTTAGACAAGGTTCTATGCCCCTTGAATTTAGTATTCTTAGTTTCTACGACGATGATTGCGTTTAGGATTGAAATGCTCGGTCTGTGATTTTGTTTGTCACGAAAAATGCGCCTCTGTCAATTCCCTCACGTGCAATCGCTCAAAAGGCAGCGACTCGGTGTCACCTCAGAGTTCGGCGATTTCTGCAGAAGAGTCGCGCGTCCCAGAAAGTAAGTCTGCGCATACCTTCAGCATTCCCCTCCTTTAACCGTGTTTCAGACGCGGATGATGTAGGCAGTCTTTACAGTCAGGTTCTGTCCGCTGAAACTAGAACTCACGAAGGTTACCTGATGAAACGCGGAGCTCTGCTTAAGGCATGGAAACAAAGGTGGTTCGTTTTGGACAGCATTCAACACCAGGTAACTTTCTTTTCCTTTGCAAGCTTTTTTAATAAATTCTGTTTAAATTATCAACAGATGACTTTTGTCGAACCATTACTACTCTGACTGCAGAACACAAAATCACATAGCGGTTTAGTTTCATCGATTGAAACATCGCGAATTTCAGTCAGTTTCTTT